TGTCCGCGGAGTGTCCGTGCCGTGTCCGAGCTGTGTTCGTGCCGTGTCCAAAAATTCAAAAAAAATAAAAAATTCCAGACACGTTTTTTGGCGTGTCCAACACGTGTCGGACACGGATTCTTCGCCCATTTTGGAGTGTTCGTGCTTCCTAGTTCGTGACTATTGGAGGATAGTTCCACATTGTGTTTGGTAGTGTATATGAAGAGAGAGAAATAGCAGAATTTTTAAAGGGAAGGAAACATCTGTGGTGATTTTGAAAATGTATATTCTTCGTTCTATTTTCTGTTGTGTGAAAGGAAGCGATTGCTCCTCAATTGTTGATTTAGTTGACCTATTGGACTCTATTGGTTCTTAGGTTCAACCTTTGTTTTTGTATTAGGGACGCGTTCCCCTTTTGAACACTTTTATAATCAAATTTTACTTATAAAAAAAATATATATATTACATGGCAACCAACACGTCAGCCACCATCCCTCTTCTCGATCTTTTGGTCCTTCTCTCCTCCGCTGCCACTTTCATCTGCCCCCCATCTTCTCTCCCAGTTTTCTCTATCCTCCACTACTACGTCCTTTGCCACTATCCCCTCGGTCCTCTCTAGGTTCTCATTCTCCTCCACCACCGTCTTCCTCCATAGCCATCCTCTCTCTCCTCTGCCAACATATCTCCTCTCTCGGTCTCTCTTGCTCTACTATGCTACAATCAAAAGGCTTGGCAATTGAATTTCTCTGTGAATTTGGGTTTGAGATATAATATATGTGTGTGTATATTCACACCACAAACAATCTTCAACTACCAATCCATATTGTTAATTGCCGTTACTTCGTGATGGGTGTTCATCTGTGTTAATCGGTGGTTAATATATTGAGTCGGACTTGCCCTTTGATGATGAAAATTGTCTTTAAAGTGAGATCCTTTCGAGAACAAGGGTTTGGAGCCGAAACCATGATCTGGGTCTCTGTTTTTTTTTTTTTTTTTTTGCCTTTGAAATTGTCAAATTTGTTAACAAAGAAGTAATTTTTTCACCTTTGAGAGAGATTGTAATGGTGGCGGCAGCAGCGGCGGTAGAAGAAGGATGAAGGTGGGGTCTGGCCAAAAGAAGTAGTGGTGGCACCAGCAATGGAGAAAAGTTAGAGAGAGAGAGAGGAAGAGGAGACCGATGAGAGAGAGGTTGTGGTAGTGGTTGTGCCATCGGTGTGTGGTGGTTTGTGACTCTGGTGTTGGTGGCTGTGGAAAAGAAGAGAGAGAACCGAAACAGAACGAGAGAGAGGGGTAATAGAGAGTTTAAAAGGGGTATATTAGTCATTTCATTGTGGATGCTTACGACAACAATAACCTAAAATTTTGATGTAATAAAAGGGCATTGTTGTAAATGCACAATGTACATTTAGTTTCTTTTTTAAAATATAAATTGATGGTAATTAGATCAAGTCTCGGGAGGTTAGGGAAGTTTAAACCCCCCCCCCCCGCGCCCGCGCGGCCCCGCCCCGCCACACTACCAAAAAAAGAAAAGAAAAAGAATTCGTTGATTTTAGTATGGCATTTGAATAATGATGTACATTGCTTTATTGGTTCAGAGATAATGGTGGTGGTGTTGTATTGGCTCTTGGAAGAGCTAGGGAACATGTCTGATCTTATTATGGGGATGCTCAAGCACAGGATTCTCCAAGCTTTTGCTGTTTGTGCATCTAGAAGTAACCAGAATGTGTTTGGGTTGTACTAATTCCATTATAGTAACCACCACGTGTTTGGGTTGGCTTAATTCCATTATATATCATATATCAACTGTGTTTGAGTTGCTTATTGTTTGATCGAACGCTTTGCCTAAAATTAACAAACGCCAACTTTAATGAGCTATAAACTTATCTGTCGTGATGGTTGTGTTTGTGTCTATGATAGTTATATGGAAGATTCTTTAAAGTTGTGAAAATCTAAAAGATCCAATAGAGAAGCAAGACCAATCCCTTTATAAGTAATCTACTCAAGCTGACACTCGTACCTTGTATAGAGATTGGAATTCTTCAAATTGGGGGTACGGGAAAGATGAATTTTGATGTGCGTTGGTGGTGTGGATTCTTTGACCTTGGAGGTGATATACTTCCTATCTATTAGCTCTAGATGAGAGTAGTGAAGCTCAGAGGTATACGGAGCTTGGAGAGAGAGGGTTTGCAGGACCAAGGATTAAATTTCAGTCCATAGATTCTTAAGGGTCCCAGATGATCAGCCAATTAGAATGATTTGTTGCTTGCCCTTCTATGGTGCTCCTGAGGATGTGAGCGGCAATTTGGCTACAAGGCCCAAATTCTAATGCAGCAGGAGTTGCCAACTCATAAGGCAAGAATCGCTGTGCATTACGACTCGAGGTAGTAGTTTTCCATCTTCAGACAATCCTTTAAAACATACGTGGGACCTAAAGATTGTCTAAATATCTAGCAGTTGATTTGGAGACACAAACCATTGACAAGTATGTCTAAAAAAATAGGATTTACTCTTTTAGGTATTGAAATGACAAAGAGTTGATTAATGTTGTTTGGCAATGCTGGAATTGCATATTATCTATTATTATTCATAATTAGTTGAGAACTTGAGAAATATAACACATTCATTGGTTGACTTGGTGGTATTGTGAATGACAACTTGCGTTGGTGACGCCGCAAGGCATTGTGGATGATGATGGGTCAAACCTTATTTATGACGCGGAATTTTTATTTCTATTTGGAAAAAAACCACACAATACCTTATCATGATGGGGTTTTGCAAAAAACATGAAACCTAGGTCATGCATGTGCAATGATATGCCCTCTGGGGTCTTGAGGGAGACTCTAACCTCACAAGATACATGTAGCTCATAAAGATCTTTTTCAGGAAGACCATTGTGTCTTACTTGTTGATCCTGAAGAAAAAGTAGGACTTGCGTAACTCACAGACAACATTTTAGGCAGAGTAAAAATGATCGTTTTGAAGGTTTCTATGCCAGATCCTGAAAAAAATCATTGTGGTTATGAAGATAAGGTGGGAAGACCATTGTGTCTTACTCGTTGATCCTGAAGAAAAAGTAGGACTTGCGTAACTCACAGAGAACATTTTAGGCAGAGTGAAAATGATTGTTATGAAGCTTTCTATGCCAGATCCTGAAGAAATCATTATGGTTATGAAGATATTTCTTGATAAGGTGGGATGACATGATTGATTGGTGGGAGTAAGATGAGTTCTGGCCAGTCGTGACTAAAGCTGTAGAGGTTGCTTTGATAAGGTGGAGATGACATGATTGACTGGTGGAAATATTGTTTCTATTCTTTGGCTGTTTCTGCTTGGAGAATATCCAGTATTTATAGTTGTACATGCACACATCAGTTAGTTAGGATTCACCAGTACTTGCACTTGAAGCAACACATGCCCATACCTTCCATAACCTGGCCATGACATGTGTGTACATTGTCTGTTATTTAGGTTGTGGCACTCAAACTTTACCTCAACTTGCCCTAACTTGTGCCACCGAGTTAAGAAAACATACACAAGTATCCTGAAGAACATTTTGTCTCGCGTGTGTCTGCATCACACAGTTAAATCATGTGTTCCACCTAGATTTGCTGTTTGATTTAGTGATTACTACGTCATTAGATGTATTTTCAGCTTTTTCTGAGATTTATGTCTCTTTTTTATTGGCTTTCTGGACCGTCATGGTATTTTGGATATCTTTGTTACCTGGACCCGGGTTTAGGTGTATCAGTGTGGGGGGTGTCCAAGTGTCAGGCCTCCTTGAATCCTAAATTATAGGGTACAGGAACATTTGTCCAAGAGTTGGATACGAATACATAGACACGTGCTACACATTTAAATACATCATATGCTTTATACTCAAATATTACTCAAATTAAATGGGATGTGGTAAAAGAAAAGGGTTTCCAACTATCTCATAAATATGAAACTTATCTCTTCTATTAAATTTTAGATTTTTCTTCTTCAATCATGCCATGTGAAGGATTGGGTATGCGATTGTCTTTTCGTGTCGACACAGACACGTGAAAGGAAATAGGAAAGTTCATGTAAGAATGTTGGATATCCGTTTAGTAATTGAATCATCGAGTTCATTGCTTTTAAGCCAATGTCTTTCTACTCATCCCACTTGTTATCTTCTACTCTTATGCACTTGTGCTCTCTTCCTTGCCCGACTTATTTGCTTCCCTGCTCTCTTTCTCTCCATTTTGCATTCTTCTCTCTTTTACATATCAACCATGTCTGAAGTTCTTGCTTGGGGAAATGGAGTAGTTCATGAAATTTTTAAAGGTCAGAGTTGGATTGAGCACCTCATAGAAGTGGTTGCCTGTGAAATACTATAGTTGTGCCAAGCAACTCATGTGAGTGGTTGCACAGATGCATTTTGGGACAAAGTTCAAAACTTTTTTCTCATGTCACCACCCCTAAATGATCCCCTTCTTATGGTGTTGAAGACTGAGGTAGAGATTTACTTGTATTTGCGACGCTATTGTATTGCTCGAGTCGATTTAGAGATTTGTGACTAAGTGAGGTGATTTTCCATATCCTTTATAATTGTATTTGCCACACTACTAATTTATATATATATATAGAGAGAGAGAGAGAGAGAGTATCTACCACACTGGGGTTTGTGGTCGCATCACATTCTGAGGCAGTTGCTGGTTCTCGCCATCTATTTTCGTGTGACTTGATGTATAGGAACGATGCAAGGTTAGAATGTAATATCGAATCACTCTGAAAACACGCACTGGTTAAGGAGCTTCATGCTGTATGTTTGCCATGTGTGCTCTGGGGCTATATTTAAATACTGTAATTTCTCATGTGATCATAGTTGAGACGTGTCGCCATCAAGGAGGTGGAAGGGTTTGGCACGTGTCACATATTGTGAAACTCTGTTTGTCATTTCTGAGCAAAGCTTCGGCCCATAGTGATCAATAAATTATGCATCAGTAAGATACTGGTTTACTAGTATATTTTCTTATACTTGCTGTTGATTTGTGTTTTAGAGAGTTGCTTGGACGGTGGCTGCCCTGGTAATAGTGATCAACGGCTACCTTTTGCTGGATTTTTTCTTATCAGAAGTTAATGGAGTGTTAATTGGTTTCGTGGTCTGTGCTGCGACTGCTGCATATGTGGCGTTCATTATATATCTTATTTCACATGGTGGTGGCCTGCCTTGTACTTTGTTCAACCTAATACGCTCCAAAGGATATGTTTACGCAGGGAATTGAGCCGAGCCGACCAATTTCATGCTTGTTTGAACACACTTCAAGAAGTCGTTATGCCCTGTCCACCAAAGCCTTGCCGAATAGCACAGATGGGTTGTTCTACTCTTTCAACGGTGAAGCGTTCTCTTTCGACAAATACCTCGAACTTCAGTGCATATATCGACAGTGTGCATACAAATTGAAAATTTGAGTGCATTTTGCCTTTTACTGTACTTACTAGTACACGATGAAGCAGACGTGGTCAAAATTGGTGCATTGATCATGCAGGATATTCTTCATACTTTCCGAGGATGGACAAAGCATTCATTTTTCCTTCCGGTGGCGTCTCCGGTGCCCACTGAAAGAGATTTTGTGTATTTATTTTCCAGTAGATGTAGAATTGTTCCATATGCTGTAACAAATAGATGAGTCTATTGCCTGTAGTCAAATTGGCAATTTGGTACCCAGTTGGAACTTCACTCTATATAAAGATGGAATGAAATTAGTGCAAATCGAAACCCTTGCCCCTCCCTGGTACCTGTTTGTTGAGATGATCTATAGCTATTGGCATTTGAATAAGGGCCTTTTTGTCTTTTGCTTTTCCAGAAAACTTATTCTTTGAAATGGCTTCTCTCTGAATTTAAAAAACCTGCAAGTTAGTTAATTGTTACAAATTTAAACTAAAACGTATCAAATTAGACAAGAAGAAATCTGAACGAATGTTTAAAAAATGTTTGAAAGTAACAAAGATCTTTGTAAAAGAGAATAATAAAATCAAGTGTATGAGAGAGAACGATAGAGGGATTAGGGTTTACTTCTGCACGATTGAGTCTATAAAACGTAAAAAAAAAATGCGAGATTTTAAAACCAAAAAATCGATAATATATACATTTACATCATGTTGTATTATTATTCCATAATATTGCATTTTTAATTTAAAAATAACAATCTCAATTTAAATTAAAAATAAATAAATAAATAAATGAATGAATAAAAACATAACAAATGCTATCAAAACCTACAGTAACAATTTCACGTGACATGTTTGGTACGTGGTGGGCCCCATAAAGCATCATAAGTTCATAAGGACCGCAGACAAATAAAGTATCTGCTACGTCGTACACTGCACGTGCCCATACCACATAGAGAATCCCAGTCACCCTCAATCTATTAAATATTACGCGTTAATACTTCACTATCAACTCACTACCAAATATCAATTGTTTCGTATCAACCATACTTTTTTACTTGTCAAAAAATAAAAATAAATTAATAATAATAATTTATTTTTTCAAAAATACAAAGAAATCAATAACTAATTATTTTATGTAAGTAAAAAAATGACTTCAAGGCAAAATTATTAAAATTGATGATGTTATTATAATTGATGATGTCATATATCTCACTCACATAAATACAATTAAATTAGTTTGAGAGTCCTGAACTTGTATCACAATTTCTTCATTTAAATTTAAGGAATTATTACATATAAATTATTACATATAATTAAATATAAGTCATTAACACTACTTATTTGTCATAATCCTAAACAACTTTATATATTGCATGAACTTATTAAAGATTAAATTTTACATTTGAAAGGAAAAATACATGAATTAAATGTTCCGCATATCTATTTTTGGAAATAGTTGGGGATTAAGAAATACAGCTTTAATTCATCATCCACAAATTCAATCTTGAAGCATATATGCCATGCTATTTGGATTTGGAGCCATCTGCCCCCTCTCTCTCTTTCACACACACACACACAAACACACACACACAGAAAAATTACCATATAAAATTCACTGATCAGTGAAATAATGTATCATTTAAAGGAACCATAATACAATATATCAAGCATAACAAGATGGACATGGAGCAACATGGACCATGAAAAAGATGTATCACAAACCACAAGCTGCATAAACAGTGAGGCAAACAACCCCCATGTTCTTCCCTTCAATCTCTCTAGCTATTTCAGTATATTCATCACTAAATATATTTTGCTACCATTATATATATAATTTTATATATAATCACACCATATCAAAAGACCAACTTAATATATAAAATTAACAGGTCCATGACTCTATTTTTATATAGATGGTATAAAACTTAAGGGCACTTGGGCTTGCCCTTAGAGTTCTTCATGTCTCTGTAGCAAGGGCACTTGTCCTTGTTTCCATAAGTCCCAGGAGGTACACACTTGCACTGCTCACAGCAAATTCCACAGTATTTCAGGCACCTGTCCTGAACTGATGCTTTTGAGCACCTCACTCCACATTTGGAGTCACACAAACCTATCCAAACACAACCCAAATCATCACCAGATCAGTACATTATTACATATATATATATATATATATAAACAAATATTGCAAAATAAATAAACAAACCCATTTCATGAATACAATATTAGAGACAATAGAGATGAGGAAAAAAATGTATAAATAAATAAAAATTGTTATATGGTTTCATACTTGAACCAGCCATTGTGGTCTGAAGAAGAGAAGAGCTGAGGACAAGAGACATAAGGAGTAAAGTTGCAAAGACTAGCTTCATCTTTCTCACTTCCTACTCTGAAATACAAGAGTGTGTGTGTGTGTGTATCACAACAAAATGTAGATCAAATAATGAAATGTAATGAAGCAATTCGTGAAGAAGAAGAGCATTAGTGGGTGTATTTATAGTATGAAAAAAAAGGTAGGCGAAGAATACAAAGGGTTGCTGTGGTATTGAATTACAGTGGGATACAGACTGTCAGATGATTTTGATGTTGTGAATTCGAGATGCTTCTCTATACCATGGGAATGTATCAATTGAAAGTGACAATTTTGCCCCGTTGAAGTTGTGAGGGACCAAACATATTGCATAAAATGCAGGGGTATACCTCACCAAGGTGTTTACGTGGCTCTTGATGATTGGCTATCTCAATTATAAGTTGGTATTCTTTATTGCACGCGGTTACGCCAAGTTTAGTTGTTTCTGTTTTGGGTAAAACGCGGAGTTTAGTTGTGGATGATTGTTTGAAGCAAAGTTTAAGGGTGTGTTTGGATTGGTTGATTTGGAGGGATAGGGAGAAAAGAAAATAAAAGATAGGGTGAGAGTGTATTTGAGTGAGTTAGAAAAGATAGGGTGAGAGTGTATTTGAGTGAGTTAGAAAAGAGAAAAGAGAGAATAGGGACGAATAGTTTCTCTTCCAATTTGAGAAGATAGAGAGACAAAAAATAGTGTAGTAAGTGATTAATTAGTAATATAAAAAATACCCTCCGCAAATCAATATATATAAAAGTTATTCCATTTATATCCCAATTTTGTGATACATGAATTTTTTGTTTTTCTTGTTAATTTTCAGTGACTAGTAATAATTTTATAATACATAAAGGGAGTTTCTTTATATGGGACTACTTCTTTAAAATATATATATATATATATATATATATATATATATATGTTGAATGTGTACTGTGTGTAGTGTGACTCTGTGTATATATATTACGCGTAGTATGTAAATATATTGGCATGTCATATTTTTCGTAATGATCTTGCAATTGATTATTATTATTTTTTTTTGCATAATTGGTGCTATTGTAATGTCTGAATGTGTGGTATTAATTTGAGTTGTGGTGATGACGAATGATTAGTTCTATCTCTGCCATAAAAAGCTTCCAAATTTGCATTTTTTAACTTTTGACATTGTGTGTGTCTCTCCTTTCTCTCTCTTCGCGACACTATTCCTGTTCTTCTCCGTTATTCGGTGATCTGAGTTTCCTCTCTTAGTAGAAATTCTCTGTTTCCAAAATTTGCGTTTCTTCCAATGGGTGTTTCTTTGGGATGGCTTTGATACTCAATCCCGGCAAAGGTTTGCGTGGGTGGGCGGACCCGATGGATCTTTGGCTCTTCTGGGTTGTTCGATCGAGGGTTTTGACTGGTGGCTGGGTTTTTGGCCAATCTCCACTATGTTTCCCTTTTGATCCCGGTATTTGGTTGGTTTGCTTGGCTTCTATGGCCGTTCTACTGTTTTCTGGCCATTTGCTTGTCCACGTCGGGTTTTTGTATGTGGTCATGCTTGCTGTGGCCGCACTTTCTGGGTTACGATTGGTTGATGCAACGGAGTCCCTGTCGTCGGCTTCACTATTTGGGCAAGGTGCGTTGTTTTCTTGGTCTTGCGTGCCGGAGTTTCTTTTTTGTTTAGGGTTGTTGTGCATTGGACGTGTTCTTGAAGTAAGTTAGCTACTCATTTCTCTTGCTCTGTTCAGAGTTGTCTCTCCTTTGGTCGCCATTGACTATTGGTCATAGCTTGTTGTTGCTGGTCATCTCTGTGAGGCTGGTTATCCTTCGGCGTTTCGATTTTATTATGTTTTTTGTTCTTGGTGGTGTTTTGCTTCCGACGATGCTTTCCTTACTGGTGGTTCGCCGGCGATTGGTCAACTCCCTTGGTTTGGTGATTGTGAAACCCTTGGTCCTCCTCGGTTTTCCCGGCGTCTCATGTGGTGTCTGATGTTGGCTTCAGGGTCACACAAGGTCTGTGCTTTGTGTCAGGGTTGTGTAGGGTATCTACGTATGCTCTCAATCCTTCTTACGCATGTTGGTGCTGGACATCACATGGATATTGTCAAGCCTTTTTTGCTTTGTGTGGTCAGGGTTATGCAGGGTCTCTCCATCTTTTTTTGTATCACTTGTTCTGTGTTGTCAGTGCCGTTTGGCTTTGGTTGTATTTCGTGGTTATGTTTCTTATAGATGCCGTAGGGCTTCTGTTGACAAGGAAAAAAATAAAAATAAAAATATTGCATTTTTTTCTCTTTTCTCTTTTCTTTCTCTTTTTTACTTTTGTTTGGACCCATTACATTGAACTAATAGAAGGAAACATTTCAAAATATCCCACGTGAGATTTTGAAAATGGATAATGTGTGAAGTGGTTATGAAAGGGTAGGACAATAATTAGGTCATTATCCTTTCTTTTCTTTTCTCTCCTTTGTCTTATCAAAACGAGAATAACTATCATTTTGTTTTCTTTTTTCCTCTATTTATCCAAACATGAAGAGAAATTATTACTATCATTTCTTTTCTTTTATTTTCTCTCATAACTAATATGATGTTTTCTTTTCTTTTCTCCCCTATCTATATATCCAAACACACCCTAAAAGATAGAGTGTCTTTATTCTCACTCCACTTTTAGTTTTGTTATTTTATCTCTTTATTTTAATAAAAAAAAAAAAAAATTACACCACTATCCCTATTTTTTGATTTTTTTTTACAATTTAAGTAACCCATCTTCTCGATCTTCATGAGAAAAATAAATAATAATAATAATAATAATAATAATAATAAAGAGCTTTCGTAATGTTAGAGTGTTTCTCAATTTCATCTTAATGTGTATTGTTCGAGGTGAAGAGATTTTTAGTTGATCGAGATTGAGCTATAAAGATATTATTGTTCGAGGTGGAACTATAGATAACATGTGAAGACCGAATTCAACCTAAGTTGGAGATTGTTGTGTTTTGTGGCTCGAATTCAGTGTGCGAGTATTGTTCTGGCATAAGTGAACAGGTTCAAATTATTTGAAACAAATTCAATTCGGGTGGATGAAGATGGAACATGTTTAAGTTATTTGGAACCAATTCAATAGGGGTTCCTAATCGGTTTTGGAATCCAGAAGACTTGCGGAAATAGGCTGAAGATTGGGAAGAAATTTGTGGTGTATTAGACTGCTATTTTAGAGTTAAAAACTAATATGGTAGCTCTTATAGGCAAGTTGGGGAATTCTTGTCCAACAAGAAATTGGTAATTGAAGACTCTATAAATAGATATAAGTGTGAGAGATTATAGTAGAGAGAGGAAAGATGTAATGGGTTTAAAGGTGAGCATTTGTGAGAAGAGTGAAGAGTATATGTAATTCCCGAGTGTAAAGAATATAGCCTCAAAAGAGATGATAAATGAATAAGCGGGAGTCTTTATTTTCATTTTAGAGTTGTTATACTCTCTTTATCCCAAATATATATATATATATATATATATATATATATATATATATGCTCCTCTTTGGGAGCCTAATTTTTTAAGAGTATAGTTTTTAATTTCTTTTTTTATTATAGTGGTAGGTAATGAAATTTCAAATATACCCTTCTATCGTGGGTCCACATAACTTGAATTGCCTTTATAACTTTAAGGTAAAGAGAATAAATTAAGAATATTTTAAAAATACTCCCTTTGTCCCAAAAAGAATATCCTTTTTGGGGAGTAGAAATTTTTAAGGGGGCATGTAAGCCATGTATTGTCCTCCCAAAAAATTACTAACTTGTCCTTTTAAGTTTTGAATATTCAAATTTAAAAATTTAAACTCCAAGGACATATATGAAAAATGAACAATTATTTTAGGACAATAAAAAATAAAAACATGGACATTTTTTTGTGGGAGAGAGTATGTAACAAGCACATTGCACCTCCTTAGGGTTTTGAGGAAGGGTGGATTAATTTAGTTGAAAATTAAAATAAATGACAATTATGTAATTTTCTTTATCAAAGTGAGTTGGAGTGGCCACAATTTACATGTAGAGCGCAAATAACAACTCCCTAAGGTATCCTAATTGGGTAACATTGTAAATTTGCAATGGACTCAATTAATACCTGTAATATTTTATTTTATTTTATTAACACCAGTTATGCTATGTTTGGTTGGAGGGAGGGATGGATGAGAGAGGAAATAAAATATACATATAATTTTTTTGTATTTAGTTGTAGGAAAGGGAAAAGAGGGATGAAGCATCCATCCCTCCCTTGTAAAAGTAATAACTACCGTAAATATGTATTTTTCATTTATAACCTTTTTAAAAATTATAGAATTTTTAAAATTTTAAATAATAAGGATATATTAATAAAAATAATATAAAAACCGATCTTTTCTTTTCTTTCAACCAAACAAAACAAATGTGTCACCCCATTCATTCTTTCTATTATACATCCAATCCAATCAAATAAAAAGTGAAAAAAAAAAATAAAAAAATAAATAAAAATAAAAAATACATTTTCTTTTCTAAAAATAACTCATTCATTCATTTCTCTCCCTTTTTCATTTATTTTTCCATCCCTCCAATGTAGTATTAATATATTTGGTGTTGGCAACTTTGAAGAAGTGGAGAAATACAGATTTGAAAGGATAAACTTGAGTGGGGTCCACGAGAAAGAAAGGAGTCAAGTAAAAGGATCCAGCTAAAAGTGGTCCACTCTAACCAATTATTCCTATATCGTAATTTTTTGATGCCCTCTCCCCTTCATGCCACCTTTGCCATTGATAGTGACTTTTTTTTTTAAAATAAATAAATAAATAGTGTCTATGTATCTTAAGTTGGTTTGGTTAGCATGAAGTTAGAAAAGAAACAAAACAATAATAATAATAATAATTCTATTAGAAGTTTGATTAAAGTGAAAAGAGAAATTTTTGAGAAATTTTGAGAATTTTTAAGGAAAGTAAACTATTCCCCACCCCCCTCCCCCCTACACAAAAAAAATAAAATAAAATAAAAACTTTTCATGTACAAAACACGTAAAAATAAAATTTTCCCGTTGAAGGAGCTACTACTTTTCTAGATTCTTATTTTAATCAATAATTTCATTATTTTAAAATTTTTCCATTAAAGGAGCTACTATTTTTCTAGATTTCTATTTTACTCGACAATTTTAGTATTTTCTTATTGGTTTGAAAGAACTGCACACCAACAAGGACTTCCTTTTTCTATGAATGATTGTTTTAGATATG